CCGCCGATGGCCAGTGGTACCCTTTGTAAAAAGCAGGGGCAAGCGGCAAGGGGCTTGCTGCGGTGCTGTTTTCCCCTTCCCTCTTCCCGTCACAATTCAGTTTGGCTGGCGCATGGTAGGACTTCCTGCCTCAACGCACTCATGTGCCATGCAAGGCGTCGCGCTGCGCAAACATGGTCATCACTACAATTCATCCGCATGCTCGTATGTGCACGTGATCAATAGGGGATCCCGCAGATTAGGAAGTCCCGCTGCATCTTTCGCACGCGCCTCCCGCGTGCCCCTCGATCAGCCTGCTCCGGGCCTCCGTCGTCTTGTACGTTGGCCTGAGCGCCCAAAAACAACAATTATGGCGCCTGCTGCGATGGCAGCGTGCTGCAGCGGCGGGGACACCCGCTCAGACCCAATCTGCAGCAGCAGCGCTGCAGAAGAGTCCGAGCCCCGCCCGTTGTGGTGGCGCGAACGGCCAAAGCGATCGGGATCCGACGGAGGCAGCGAGCAGCAGACGCACACGCCGCCGCAGGTGGCAGAGGCGCTGCCGCCCAGCGGGCGGGCCAAGGGCGCAGGCGCGCGTGCTCGCTCCGCGGAGCAGCTCGAGCTCGCGCGCCAGCCCGCCGCCGCCGCCGCCGCGCTCTGTGCCCGCCTGCTCGCCGCCGACGCCGCACCCACGCCCGCAGAGCCCGCGGCGGCCGCGGCGAGCGGCGGCGTCGACGTATGCACCGCGGCGCTCGCCGCGCTCGCGCCGCGCGGGGAGGACCCAGCGGCCCTGGCCTCTGAATTTTCCTCCATCTTGATGGATGAGGAGAGGGAGCTGCACCTGTCAGATCACCGCTGCATCGACGGCTCCATGGAAGGCAACGCCCACAAAAACAGATACTGCAACATACTGCCCTTTGATGCCAACCGCGTCCGCCTGCCGGCGCCCGCGGCCGGCGCCGGCGGTGCGGTGGCGGCGCGGAGGGGCGCCGCGGCTGGCGCCGGCCGCGGGGCGAGGCTCTTCGAGGCGGCGGCGTGCGGCGGCGGCGGGGGCTACTTCAACGGCAGTTACATACAGGTATGACCAGCGTGTTAGGGGCGGCGACCGCGACCGGGGCGCAGTCGCGGGTGTTTGCCAGCCGATTGGGGGGGCAAAAGGTGTCGGGCAGGGGGTGGTGACGGGGCCGCAGCGCCCACATGCCTGGCGCCAGCGGGCATCAGCCGCGGCTGCCCCCAAAGCGTAGCAGCCGGTACGCACCCCTCCCC